CCTGGGTACCAATTGCCCCAGGATCAATAGATGAGGAAATCATCCACTACCCAGTTGAAGCGCTGAAGGCTTAGGAAGATTCTCACATGGCGGTGTGCTGGGGAAAGAAGGGGCTACAGGGAAGAATGAGATGTTGTTCCTTAAACACTCCACCCATGTTTCTTTATGAAGACCTGTGCTCCTTGCCTTTGCCCTTCCTCCTGCAATGCTACCCCCTCAAACATCCATATGCTGTACCTCTCACTCCCTTTATGTCTTTGCTCAGATGTCACCCCTTTATGAATGCTCTCTCTAAATCTTTCTATTTTCCTTTTTTGAGAATCAGGCTCTACCACTTTGCATGTATGAAGAATGAAAGCTGAAGCACTGCCACCTGGTGTCCTGCTAAAGTATTTTGTGAGGCTCCCGCTGGCCTCCCTGCCGCCGTCCAGTGCTCCTGGAGTAGATGGTGGGGAAGCCCGGTCACAGTAGGAGGCAGCATCACTGACCAAAATGCCAACCATCTTCCCACCGTAGGAACAGTGAGAACAGGGACTCAGGAGCACTGTCTGGCTGCTTTACTGTTTTGCCTTCGAGATGTGAAAGTGATTGACTTCAGGACAACGAAGACAATACTTGGGGTGATTTCAGCTGGAGATTACTAGGCTGCCTTGGAAAGAAATCTTGCCCTTTTTGCACAAGTTGGGAGGTTTTTCTCTGGTAAGTAAAACTGAGTTTACTGCTCTGTCTTTTATTGTAGTATAGAAATACCTTGGAAGAGTCAAAGATGAGAAAATACTTAAAAATTGTAGCAAACGCTGCTTGGTGTACTTTTTTCATATTATTATATGCTGCCCAGCCTTTCAGTATACCATCTGAATGAACTGATTTTCCATAAACATAAGAAACATGATACCATGGATGGTTATAATACAAAAAATCTGCTAAATGCACTTCAGGAAAATGTTGAGCTTTACTTTGCAGATAGACCCCTGTGCATTTCAGACACTGTCTCCCAACCCCCCAAGGTTGTGTACACTGCCTGCCGCTGGCTGAGCGCCTATGACAGGGAAGGCATTGTGCCAGATGGTGTGCAGGTATGTTCTCACTTAATTCTTACTAGAGCCCTTCAAGGTTGGTACATCCACCTTTCAAAGGGCATTGTGGCAAAGTGCTTGAGATCAAAGACTTGGGTTGTATTTCTAAATCTACCACTCATTAGTTGAGTGATCTTGGGAAAATGTCTTAATAAATTTTATGCTTCTGTTTCCCCATATCTACAAGGTGGATGTTGATTGTATCTACCATACAGGTGCCTATGAGAAGTGAATGGGGTGATGAGTGCCAGTGCTGCGCCCTGTGCCCGACAGAAAGATACTGGTTACTTATAGGAAAGGGAATTGCGCATGAGAGGGGTTCACTACCTGCCTGGTGCTGCAGAGTCAGTGTCAGAGGGGCTCCTCCCCTCCATATCCCGGTTAGAGCAGATGCCTTTGCTCACCCCAAGAGTAACTCCCTATCTCAATACAGTATTTTATTTATGGTACATATAACTTCTCAAAACTATCTTTAAAAAAATCCACTTGTTTAATTTTTTTCTTGTCCAACTGCACTGTAGGACTTTTACGTCCTCTTCACTACTGCCTCCTCCATGCCTGAACACTGCTTAGTACACAGGAGGCCAAAACAATATACATATTTGAAAATTTGAATAAATGTATGCAAGATAAAATTATTCGTAGAATCAATACTATTCAAACAC